ACTAGTAATAGTTCTACATCAGATGGGATAGTAGGGCTCACGCTTTTCTCTTCCTTTTCCCGCGGAGTTTTTAAACAAAAGACGTAGASCCAGTCKCTARGAATCACATATCTCGTGTAATTRGATTTGAAGACAGTCTGTAGTCTTGCAGCTTTTAATGAGAGTCATTGTGATTGGCTAGCCWGAACAATAGGCACTATTGTTCATGCTTCATTGTTTAGTTTCCCTCTGAGTTAACCCTTTTCCTTCCAAAATTCTGGGGAAATTTTAAATGCTTTAAAGATAAAAAGCTTTAAAAAATGATTTCGGCACTGACTTGACGGTTGCCAAGKGATTTACATAACCGAAAACTCAAACTTTTGAGGGATGCCTGCAATGTTTTTTTTRCGTCTTTGGATAGCGAACAGCTCGTTCAAAACACAGAGGCGCTCTTCTGGAAGAAATCAGAGGTGGGAAGCGATTTTATGAGAAAAATGGCGATCGTCAGTTGGTTTGAAGCCGATAGCGCCGTTGGAGTGAAATCGACTCCCTGGCTGTCTTGTGTTTGGCTTCGCGACCTACCATGCTAATTTCGGCAAGTTTGGACTCTTAAAAAAAGCAATCGGCTGAAAATTTTGTAGTTAGGAGCAAATGACTTGGCACAAAAAATATTGAAAATGTAGAGTACGGAGTAATCCCTGTCGAAAATATACGCTGTTACCCATTATAAATCTTTGCGATTGCAAGCCAAGAAAGCATGTGCGTTGGGGAGTGGACGAAAACAAGAAGCTGTTTCTTGGCTTGTTCAATGAACCAAGGGCCAATAGACTGACAAATGTAAAGTAGAAAGGCCAGATTTCCTGAAAAAGTTAAGTTTCGGCATGAATGTAAGGACTTTGAGCAGTAGAACTGGAAAGAAATTAAGCCATTCTCTAAGTCCGTTCTTTTGGGTTTATATGGTTTTAATATCAATGAAGATATATGCTTTTTAATCCTCCAATGTTTATCTTTTCGTRGACAACGGTTGTACACTAACGGTTGTTTTACAAGAAGTAGTGTTGCAAGGGCGCGTTAGCTACAGGCATTGATCACTACAGGTATCAATTACTCCTGCCCTCGCCTGCGATATTTTCGTAAGCGCCMATTTATCTCCGAAATCATCTAATGTTGTGTTATGTCAGTCGACCTTTCTAATATAAATAAAAAAACAATAAAAGAAAACAAAAAAGAAARCTAAACAAAACAAGACAAAGCAAAATCTAACAAACAAAAACTGACAGCACGATTTTAAATAGTCAAATGTTACTATAATGTCACAGAAGACGTGTGTAGAATAGATCATTATTTATGTTCTCTCGTTATCTGAAAATGATAGATAAAATAAGGGAAATTAACACAAWTCTAATTTGATACGACTCTTTATTTTTTTTTCAAAATTTTGTATRAAGTTTCATACTTCGATCATATATTGTACTCAATCAGGAATACTAGTACTGGCACCTTTAGACGCCATCCGCTAATTAAGGTGTCTAGAGCTCCAGYTTGATTTTCCGCTTGTTGCAATATCCGCAGGACGTTTTATGACAAACTTTGACTAATATCTTGTGGATTTTGATACTTTTTGGTTTTAAAAGCAAAACAGTGACTACCAAACAACTTTCATTGTACATTACTTGTATAGCCATTACTTGTATTATCTCGGTCCATCTTGGTAAAGAGTGCTCTAGTGTGGAGGAAGCTTAGTGGGAAGTAGGTCTTAAGTGGGYACTTCATTACCTTATCGCGGCATTCAAACCTCTGTAAGTCATTAGTGCCAACGTTGAAAGTATCAGGAAAGCAAGTAAGATGTTTTGATACATGGGGCATCAGTGATCTCTCCATTTTTAAAGGTTCMCCGTTTTCAATCATTTTGTTGATATCTCATTAATTTATCAGCTTTCTGTTTCATTCTTTTTATGTTTTTGGAGTTTCGTGGTAGTACAGGTGTTCGCTAAAACAGCACAGCATTATATGATATTCTTTTTACCTTCATCAGAGCGAAGGACAGTCATTACTGCAGTTTCTTGTGGTGAAGTTAATACGCCGGCTACTTACATCGTTTAGTTTAGGTGCGTCACTGCTTTGATTGCAGTTCATTAACAACAAAACATTGGTCCTGAAACTGTTTGATGCTTGCATTCAGGAAACAACATACAATAATGTAGCAGCTTAACAACGCACTTCTGTGGCTCCGTGTAATTAATGCTTGACTAGATTAGATGTGCGGCGGTTTGTTAAAAAAGCCGATTTGATCATTGCAAATCCTCATAATACATGGAATGCTTTTCCTTTTTTYATTTTATCATCAGTTTTGTGTTTATTTTCCGCAGAGCTGGCCCATCACTCTAACAGATGGGTTATCTTATAATAAACAGGCCCGGTTAATTACCTGATTCTAGATTAAATTAGGCCATGGATAAGAAAATTCTATGTTAACTAATCAGTATTCAATATTCACAAACCGAATGCCAAATATTAAAAAATGTAATTGCACCAGCTAGATTGCAAATATGCTGCAGCCTGTATAGCATAGCAATTACAACTAACTTTCTTCAAGAAGAAAATAGATCCTTACAAGCTCATTAAGACATTAGATCAGTACCGTATGAGAACAAAAACAAAAACAAACAAAAAATGCAAATCAAAACAAAAAGAACAATAACAAAACAAAACAACAAAAACAGCAACAAAAAATAAAAAACAAAAAGAAAACAATGTCCAAAAAAAGCAGCAAAAAAACTCAACCCAAAAAACAACAACAACAACGTGAAAAAGAAGGCAATGAATCGGTTATCCAGGTATCCCGAGCCGTCGTTCGTCAGTATTGACCTTCGTTGCTAGGAAATGTTTGATGCTCAACATTAAGTCAATTGTAATTTCTGAAATATTTTGGTCGCATGTTTTGTTGTTTTTCAGAGAGCTGYAATTWCGCCAAGCGACCAGAGAGAGCTAAATAAGGTAAGATAAAGTAAATCGACACAATTTTGTCTTTTAGTCATTTTAGCTTTCTGATAACTTAATCCATTTGTTTCATTYCGTTCTTTGACGCGGGAATCAAGAAAATAACCATAGACATATTTCCATTTTTGGTTCCCTGTAAATTCTAACGCAAATCGTCAAAAACCACATAAAAACTTACTCATCTCTATTTTTAAATTAATTTAACACTTTTGATTATGAACAATGATTGGCCCGGCTTCTCCTAGTTGCCTATTCTCTTCCACATTTATGTTAGACCTAAGGGCATTATATTGGACGATTTGATCAAGTCAATAAAGGCTTATTAAAGCTATTCCTTTCAAAAATATCATTCAATTTACATATCTCATAAATCACTCAAATCTGAAAAGCAAACAGTGCTTTTACTTGCTTTTAGTGCGATATCGTTAAAAGTACAGCAAGACTAAAGCAGGAGTAGTGTCGTAAATGCCATATTAGATAGATTTTATTTAAAGTTAATATCGGCAAGATTGATCTATTAATCATGATGATAGCAATTTTTAGAACAATGTTCGTTGTTGGGAATAAAATGACAGTTTCAAGATGAGTTTGATTTTTTTATCTAATACTGCCGGACACGTGTGCTTGTTATATCAATCAAATTTGCAACTCTAGAAAGAGCTATTTAATGTTTTGCTGTACATGTCAGTTGTGGATAGCCATAGGCAAATGAACTGTAGTGGTAGTACTGTAGGTATCAATTCAAAACATTGTTTTTGCTTTGATAGCATTACTATAGCTCTATTTATCCTTACCCATATCATACATTGTGCCCTTCAAATAATGCCCAGTTCGCATTYGAACGAATTTGTGTTTGTTTTATAAGACTATCTGTCAACAAGAACCTTGGACGATTTTTCCTGCCTCAACAAACTTAAAAGACGCCGTCAACCTTTTCTCAGTGTAGGGSAAACGTTTTGGTGTCAGACATTAAAAGTGGAACAATAAGTTATATATGGGCAAAGGCAGTCAAAGTAAATAGTAATAGATGTATTTCAACAATCCTTAACCGGGCAATTTTTGTTTATCACGAAATCATTATATTACAAAATGAATTGAATAAAATTTTGCTATAGGAAAAACCATTTTTTTTTATTTATAAATGCCATTGAATGTAATCTTTCGTTGTGTCAGAACACGTTATAAATAGGCAACTTTTACCGAATCAAGATTTCTTTCCTTTTGGTTGACCTAAGTCTGTCTACGATTGAATTGAACAGTTCCATTGTGACTGCTTTACGGCGATGAATTGTACTTTTCGATTGAATAATGTTCTGAYGCGTAGAGAGTAGATACACCATCAATACAGACAAAGTGTGTAAATACGATATTGCATTCAATAAAGAAGCCGTCGGAAAAGCTATCGTATAGGTTATTAGAGATGTAAAGTACTAATTTAAGATTTAGTCCTTGCTTTGGCTGTGCCTGTTTCTTAAAAATGGATCAAAGAAAACGACAAGAAAAATGCATATTGATTGAGATTCTTGAAAAATCTGGACAWTTAATTTCAATTTTTTAAAAGTCTCAATTTTATTTAGTTTTCCTTAAATTAATCATCAATATAAATAGATACAATACCAGAAGTACGTCTTACTACCAACTAAATCCTGRTTCTTGATTTTCTATATATTGCCAAATTYTATTCAAATTTTTAAGCGCAATAAAGTCGTTTTGCCAGCCAGCAGGGGACTCATAACACGCAGTACAAATTCTGGATCAGACAAAGGCATTCTTTTACTCCACCCTGAACGTCATTCTGTCTTTATTAATTTTGCGATTTAGGTGTCTACACATAATGAAAAAAAATCTAGCAGAGGAAAGAATTAATTACGTATATCACTAAGATGCTATGATATTGATTAGACCCGGAGTTTTCAGCTGGCCATTGAGCATTTAATTTGTTATTTCTAAACAAAGCCATAAACTATACAGATCCTGAAATAACATGATCTAGGTAAATTCTAACAAATCGGATTAAAAAATGCATGCTTTGAAATGAAATRTAAGTTAAATGATTAAAGCTTTTTATGGTTATGGTTTGATGAAAACACTGATATGATTTTCACCAGGCAATCGTATTCAACGCGTTGATCTCCACATTAAGTGAAGTGTTTGTTGTCATTATTTACTTTTATGGTTCATTGCGAAATTTCATATCAACATTGAATTTGACAGGTAGTTTCCGTACACTTACACGAAATGGCCTTTCTTTAAATTGCGAAAAATTACCCTCTAAAATTAAAGAATCATAATTTTACTGTCGTTTGTTTATTTGAGATATGAATATACACATCATTGCGGAAATTTTTCAGCAGGATATTCGGCAAATAGTATTGTTTTCAATGTTGTTATTTCATCAAAACTGTTGACACGCCTTAGTATGAAAAGAAGCTGATTTACAACCAAGTGTTAGTTGACCGCTGGCTACGATGACAGTGCTAATCAGTGACGTCACAGCACTATCGCGTTTGGCGGTTTTTGYTCAAACACTCCTTCACATGCATTGSATGAAACTTGAGAATCTTTGAGCAAAATACAATTGCAATATTCATCGTTATGTGTATTGATATTAAAATGAAAATATAATTTTCCCTATACCAAGTGMAAATTATTGTGTTTTTTTAACTAAGGCTTGCTGACGCAGTTATTCAGTAATGACAYTATCTTGCGGTGATTGGTCATCTGCGATTTTCAATCACCTTACTTCACCTGGAGAGGTGTGTGGTTGATCCAAACGTACTTTCAGCTGTAAACCACGCATCAGCACGTGCGCTTGGATACACAGTGATTGAAAACCAAACCTCGATCACTGAAAACACAACAAAAATACGTAAAATACATTAGAAAAAATCCACAGCAATTTGAATTAACAAAGTGATAAATAATGATGAAGAATCAAAATGCCRATTCCTTTAAAATTTATTCCAAGGACAATATTATACCAACGATGATGGCAGGCCAGATACATGGGTRTTATAAAAGACTATTGTTGGGCAGACTCATTCAAAATTTATTTCGCGTCCGGGACTGACAATTGTTGAGCTTTTTCCCTTTTTCMGATGATCTCGTATTTCATTTTAAAAGTGATCTCAGGAACTATTAAAATGCGTTTTCTATCCTTGAAACATACCAAGCCAAATTCTGAATAGATACGATATTAAGTGTATGTGAAAAATTTGTGTAGAATTCTTTAACTGAAAGTGTGAAAATGTACATGATAGGGATTCGACCAATAAATATGTCCTCAACTTTTTGACATCTTGACGCCTTAAGAAAAGSAAAAAATTGACAATATTCCCAATGCGTTGAGCATATTCTAGTTTAATGGCACGAGCGTGGCGTGAACTCTTTCAAAATTGAATTTCCTTTTTGAATGAAAGAACAATTTGACTGCGATTGATTTAACGATAGGTCGATATTTCGAAAAGTGTTAAAATTCGACATCTTGAAGATTGATAATATAGTGGCATCTTCAAGGTATAATAAAGAACACTGGACCAGTGTGGTTTTTGCAAGCTTGGTCTTGGTGGCACTGAGATTTATATTGATTGATTTGCTAATAAAATGTTCATCCGTCGTCAAACAAACACCACATTTAACATAAAAACTACATAGTTTTAGGATGCGTAGACCGGATCTGTTTGTACAATTAGAGTAAGGCGARATCACCTGCTTCCCACAGTCCTTTGCGGGGTATGTTAATTACGAGTGTGGCCTATATAATACTGTATGGAATGCGATCGGGTTGCGATATAAGGGGACATCTTTCAAGCTACGAGCATCTACAGTAAGTCAACTCTATATTGTACCATATATATTGTGTTTATCTGTTGAGCCAAGTTGTCGGTGATTTATGTACTTGTTGTTTTATCGAAAAGCGCAAGCTTGACTACCAAATCTTCATTTAACAATGAATCGTTTTCTTTAATTTAACCCGAAAACCATTGATATTGATTTTTTGGGCTTTTTCGCTCTTGGATTCGTATGCTTATGAGTATGTTTTTTTAATCTGCGGTTCGTTGTTATATATTTAATTCAATCGATGTGAAATAAAAGCAATTTCCGATTTAAGGAATCAAATAGGAATCAAACCAGATCTAGACACCTGATTTTCAGGAATAAGAAAATGACCTATGGAATGTATTTCTGAACCCCGCAGACGCTTTGCCAAAATGTTAAAACAAATTCTTGAGGGTGATCTTTTTRATTTAATCATCTTTTCATCCAGCCTCGAAACAAGAAAATACTTTTGAAATTCTCTTTAGAAACTAAAATGATAATATGTGCCAGCGGCATTCAGTCGGAATAATTGGAATTTGTAACTCAATAAAGAACTGAGTCTTTTGGCATTAGCGGGTGCCAAGGTGATCAATGTTCAGCCAGCATATTAAATAGTAAAGACATCGTGGTTTGACAAAAGTAGAACTAATATACAACATACATCCTACATTCTTGGATCATGTTAGTCAATAATACTGAGTTTGMGATTACTCTTCTGTCTTAATTTGCTTTTACAAGTGGGATTCCTTTAAAAGGTTCACTTTTTTTCATTTGTTTAAGATAGATGGTTTGTAGCACTGAGAGGTCTGATGTAGAACATCAGTTGGCAGYTGAGAAATAGGAGGAATAGACTGAAGWGCCAAAAGACTGTTTTCTTTAGAATTCGTCCTGTCAAAATAACAATAWAACTGATTGCAGAGATAATCCCACCATTTATCAGCTCCATTAACGARTAATCATCTGGCATTAATTCTGTGTTTTTTGTTTGGTGACAATATTAAAAACATTGAAAATGTCTTGTCACTGTGATAAATTGTTCAAATTCAAACATCCATAGCAAACACTGCAAATAAAATAATGACTGAAAATATAGGATTAATAAACGCTCTTTATCAGTAAAAATTCTAATTACTAGTTCAGATATGCAGAGGCCACCAGGTGTAAAACAGATCGTTATTCAAGTTTTTATCATTCATTCCTACAAATCTAAATTTCATTAGAAACAGGCGGAAAATTAATTACTTTTACTTTTGTGTGTGTGTGGAAAACAAATTCGTTAATATTTTGTGTTTCGTTTAGGTACATATTTATAATCAGGCGTTATTTGTGAGATATATGCTATCAGTATAGTGATTGCAATTTCAAATACAAAATATAAATCCTTGTGTTAAGAAATTCACTTTGTTRAATGCTTTTTCGTGTTAACTTTTAATATTTGATGGGTTGATAAAATATATCTTAATTCTGTAGGAAAGCATTTCAAAATCGTGCACTGAATTGATAATCTTGGACAGTTTGCCTCTCCAGCCTCGTTAGCATATAATCTATTTTGACTGCAAGGCAAATATATGAATCAGTGGGTTCTTTCACATGCTGTAGTTGAGTGGCGTAAACCCTGTAAAAAGCAATATCTATGACGGCACTATCCATCTTAATAGCAGGCATGAAGGTCATATAAACAAGTTTTTACGCAAAGTGTTCTGCTAAATGTATTATTCATGTTCTTTAAATAGAACGGGTGGTTTATCGAGACCGTGAATAAAGGTTTGAGCCGCAGGACTGCAGGTTCTAGAACTCCAGAGTTCAAATGTGCACACGCATTATTCATGTGTTGATATCGCATGAAATAATAAGTCATCATTGAAGAATTCACTGTCATTTCTCAAACTGATGACTGGTCCCATTGCTGGAAGGCATGGAAAATGTTTTAAAACAAGGCAATTGCTTGAGCAAAACATCAAGGGCCGGTGATACGGAGGCTTGATAAAGTTATTTACTCCTTAGATCTTGCGGGGATTTTATCTGCTTGATAGCAGCGCTATTCATCCTTCGCACAACCGGTCCGAGTGCTCTATCAACATCYGATGAATTGAGTCAATCATATTGTACAATGCTGCGACTGAGCATATGACAAGAACAAAAGGAAAGCGAAGGGAATGCGTTCGTCTTATATGTCTTATATCGATGCAAAATCAAGCATTATGCTAAAAATAAGTTAATCAATTCCTTAATTTTGTCTTTTTGATCACTTCTAATCCCTAAACCTTTTGCCTTTTACAATAATGTTTCAAAAATGCTTATGTCGTACTCTGCTTATATCAATGGTTAATTATTATTTCTTCAGCTTTTTTGTCTACTTACAATGATACCATGTTGACCGTTACAGTAATTAGTAATAACTTTTCACGGGTACGTGCGCATTCCTAATTTGTGAAACACAATACAAATTRGGTTCTAAATTATGCAAACTCCTTTCTTTCCTACTGTCTAACGGATTAACTGTGCATGATTAACCACTCTATAACAACAATTAATCAATAAACAGATTGATCTGTTGATGAACAATGAAATTCTGTACATTTACTAGCAATGTATGTGTGATTATGACAGCGTTTAAACGTGTCCGGWTATCTCACCTTTAACACGAAGCCACCGAAACCGTCAAATCTAGACGAAAAATTTTGGATTTTTTTCGAAATWGCTTTTAATAACGACTATAGTGGTATCCTGATACGAACTGTTACCAATGTGATGACACTACTTTTGTTTCTTTCATAGGAATCTGATTTGCTGCATAAACAAAGGTAATTATACTAATGGCGTAAATATGAATATATTCTACAAATTTAGCTTTCGAATGMAGTCTTTGTAATCATTTTGAATGAATGTCAATTTTTTAAGTGAGTGTTTTTAAAGAATTTTCATTGCTTAATTGACGAAAGTACATTCAAGAATATAGTCAAGAAATCCCGGTTCATTTTTTAAGGAGCGTCTACRCGTACACGTTTTCCTTCTAACTGAGGAAATAATGCCCGTGAAATTATAACAATAAAGCTTATATAGGGCTTATTCAGGTCTGCTCTATGCGATGTAACAATGGAGGAAAAGAAGTAGAAGAAATAACCCATCGATTTTTTATATCTGCTTTAAAAGTAGACGAGTCAAAAATGAAGAGAGTTTCAAAGTAGAGGTGCAGCAACAGAATGCAGGAAATAAGTTAAAAAGTTATCAGAAAACTTGGGAAATATTGTGTGACACTGGTACTTAGACATGCCACAAGTCAAGATTCTCTTTTTGTAAAAACAAAAAGGAAATCGAGGATCGAAAAAAAAAAACGAAAAAAAAAAATAAGCGAGCGTGGAGCGCGAGAGTCCATGGGTATAAAAGGGACTTTGTCAAAGTCTGACTGGCACTGATACTGGTACAATGGTGTGTTTGTTCAATGGTGGACCCAGACGGTTACAAAGGGGAGTGRGTAGATTTATGGGCTACGGAATTTTCTTCAAAATAAGTCCCATTAATTTTCGTATTTTGCTTAGTTAAAAAAATAATTTATATTTTTACATTTTTGAACCCTAAAAAGGGGTTGGGTTAGCCGCCCTAAATATCCTCCTTGCATCTTCCTTCGTCGTACTAGCATAATGGTTGTAAATACTTAATGTCTTATTGTGTTTAAACATTAACATTGTTATCTTTATCGCAGATGAAGTCCACAACTTTCGCTATTCTATTCAGCATAGCTATCTCATTAGCTCAAAGTGATAATGCGGAAGTGGAAAACTGCCTAACACAATGCTTCGAAACTGCTGAAGATTGCATCTTCAATCAGATCGCATGCGTTAGTCGTCGATCCTGTCTTAGTTGTGTCCGTAGCGTTACTCGTCCGTGCATGGCATTATGCCGAAGTAAAGGAAAGAAAAGCCTTCGATCAATAATTGGAATCTAAAAACGAATGACAATCAAAAAGACTTACTCGAACTATGTATCAATGAGGACATTTCCATGTTCGATTTGTTATTGTTAGTGTCTACTATTACAAATAAAATGTAAAATTCAAGACGTTAGTAGAATGTTCTGCGTTCTTCAAAATGTTTTATATGAGC